GGCCCATCCTGCCAAGACTTGAGCTGGTAACCGAAGCCGTCATGCTGCTGTGTGACAGTTACTGCCGCTCGTAGCAGGGGTGAGGCATAGAGCTTCGAATGGTATAGATCTCTGATAACCTTCACAGGGAGCTCATTGCATGGAGCCACTGTTCCTGTGCGAGCCCACTGCTCTGAGGTGGTCATTAAAAGAGGGTGAAGAGAGTAATTCTGGTGACCAGGAACGTCTTAGCAGTGTCATAAACGAAGTCTAAAATATACCCCCTTCCAGAAGAGCACAGAGGGTTGCAATATGGAAACTCCTGATTTCAGACTAAGCTGTGGAGTACTTCATGCACCCACCTGCTCAGCCGAAAGGTTCTCTCATCTTAAACTGAAATGTTTACTGATCTCCCCGCATCACGAGCACCTCCAGCACTGGGTGCCCACCTGTATGGACAGACACCCCCACGTGGCACTGGAGTATCCGCTGTTCTGAGTGCAGGGAGATAAGGAAGCCATTTGTGTTACGTGGAGCAGCGAATGGGAATTTTTAATGGTCTCACTGGATAGGAAAACCTTTATTCTCTCATTGGAAACAATTTCATACATGTCATGGGATTCTCCTCCCTGGGTCAGTGATTCCCGGATACCACAGCACAGATCCAAAGTGCTCAAACTTTCCTCTGTTCCTAATATCCACTGACATGTTTGTCCATGAGTCACTGTCAGGCCTTTCAAGCAAACTTTGAATGAATGTTTCCTGTAGCAGGTGCCTGCTGCCTTGAAAGTGCCTCCCCCTCCTCCAAATAGGCTGAGACAGGGAGCATGAGACTGCAGTCAGGGCCGTATTAAGGCATAGCCACTCTGTGTCCACGAGTAGGGCCCCAGCTCCAGGAGTCAAGTGATTAGGTCAGAATCTCAGATGTCCTGTAACGAAATGAAGAGAGGCTCTAGCCGTCACATTTGTAAAGCTTGAAAACACAAACCAAGCATAACTGATGCAGACGCCTGCCTGAGTCTGAAGACTGCCTGAAACTATAGCTCTGCGAGGTGTGAACTGCTGCATGGGTGTTACCTCCTAAATCCCCTGTTCTGAAAGAGGCCTCCCGCCACCCCCTGACCACCCGGTGCCAGTGAGAGCCTGGTGTGGGGCTACCCAGGTGGAGTCACAGCAGCTCCCACGCTGGGGTGTGCTGCCAGAACTGACTATGCAGCGTGCTGTGGACAACTGATGCTGCCATTGGGGGCTCTCTCGGTCAGTGCTGGAGTTCTGCTTCCAGGGATCACCCGCCTGATCTCTGCTGCTCCCACTACCAGCCTCCAAGGGTTCAGCTGCAGGTCAGGGTTTTCCAACCTCTCCTAAATCCAGACCCTGCTCCAGCGGGAGCTGGAAAACAGCCCAGGAAAAGCTAGGAAAAGCTGCAGCCAGGAGGGACCCGGCACAGGGGTGCAGCCTATGTGCCACATGTGCTTTCCCATGGGGTGGGAGGCAGATAGTCACTGAGCTGGAGGGAGAAGAGTCAAACCCTGATTCCGGTGGGAGCTGCAGGTGCTCAAGTCCCAAGTGAGCCCTGGGAATAACACAGCTGACCCAGACAAACACGAGCACCAGGAAGCCAGCCGAAAGCCTGGCTAAGAGAGAGCCCTGGCCTGTACGGCCCTCCGAGCCTGTGCGCATCCGCCACCACCAAGGGCCTGCCTGGAAACGATGAAATCACAGCAGCTGGAGGCAAGTGGGAGCAGGGCCCAATTATTGCCATGCTCAGAGCTGACGTGCCTACTCGTATTCACTTGCTCACCCCCTGGACCCTTCCTTGTTCTGTCCACATGTCAGTTTGTCCATGTGTGGCCAAGACCTTGGTTTATTAGCGTCTCTAGACTGCAAGCACCTGACTCCACTACAGCTCAACTGCAAATCTATTTGATGAAGGATTTTCTAAAACAATCCGTGGGTGGGCTTGGCGAGATATATACATGAATTCTGATTTTAGTGTCAGAAACAGACTTTTCCGGAGGTGACCGGTGAAACCCTAACCCAAGTGTTGAGCGCAGATTTTAATTTGAGAAATAGTTTAACATTTTTTTAGATATTCATTTAGATGTGGTATGCAGGTTAAACATAACGTATGATCACTGCTCCTTTCATTGCTTCCAATTAAACCTTGCTTGTTAGTTTAACCTCTAGGTAATCCCATCAAACAATTGATGTCAAGGAAACACTGCCCACAGTGGCTTTGGATGAGTGGCCATTAATTTTAATTGCCTTGATATTAAAGATTAAGAAGTATTGGGACTAGCAGAATGGAAACGATCTGATGTCAAGCAAATCCACTCGCTGAGGCTTCCCCAGGCTGCTGGTGATATTAAAATTTTACTGTGAGAATTAAATAAACCTTTATTAGTGATGGCTGTTGTTTGATTGGTCCAGAGGTGGGCATAAACAGAGGGTTCTTACACATCCTCGGACAATATCGTTGATGTACAGAGATTCCTCAATTATGAAACCGTTAATAAAGCTGTAATCTGATTGTCTACAATAATTATTTGCTGGGTTTCATTAATGTATTATTGCTTCCCTGACTGACAAGGTAATATTAAGTGCAATATATAGAATACAATGGAGTATTGTCCAGGGAAAAGAAAGTATAAGGCACACTTTCCTTATTACATTTAAAGCTGGAGGCTTTTCATTAATTATCTTAAATTCCCGCTGTATGGTATATAATTTTGGCATTTTTAAAATCTCCTCCCTATAACCAGGTTGCCTTATCAAGCTATACGATACAGCTGTGTTCTGCTTGTTCCATGTGTTGTCCTTTTAAATGGAATAGCATTCGAGAGCTATAGTCACTTGTATCCATATCCTACAGCGTGCAAGGCAGAAGTACAATTCCTGGGGATTTCTGTTTCTTTTCATGAGAGGGAAGGAGCTGTGCAAGGTTCCTGTGTCTGTACAGAAGGGTGCTATTTCCTTTGTGTCAAGGGATGTTCCACATGGTTATTTAAAAACAAACAAACAAAACCAAGCGCAGCATCAGCTGATGGTCATGACTCCATATCTGGTATCATGGAAACAGGAGTTAGAAGTTTAAGGCACTGCTCCAAGATCCATTGATGTCAGTTAAAAGACTCACGTTGATTTCAGTGGGTGTTGGACTCTGTTGGACCGTGGGCCCCTAGCAAGTGAATGGAAATAAAAAACAGACCTGACTGCAGCCCGTATGATTCATGGAAAGGCAGGCAGGAGAAGGCATGCATCTAGGGACACAGCAGAGACCACCAAACCAGCCTTTGTGACCCACGAGGCCTGTGTTTGTCACGTAACTCCATCCCCGTCCTTACAGGGTTTGCTCTGAAAAGACCTTCTTCTAAAACAGACTCAGCCTTGGCCAAAAATGGAAAATTGGTAGATTTCTGTTTATCGGTAACTGTTGTTTTCTGAAAGTCATCGTTAATAGGACAAAAATTCTTGTTCCCCTACCCAGGGAATATCTTCCTTTACGAGAGTGCCGGTGACTGTGAATTCAGCTGGTTGGATTTTGAGTATCTTTCTGTTGTGCATAGGCCTCCAAATAGCAGTCAGACTTGCAGTCACTACCGATGGGGCTTAGATGTGGACAAAGACCAGGAGTGAAATTTCTACATGCTATTGCTAGTCTGGCTTTCCCTCCAAGGGAAGGGCGGGAGTTTGGGCTTGTGCTTAAGGTAGCAGACTAGGTTTCAAGAGACCCTAATTCAATTCCCTGCTGGCCACAGACTGCCAGAGTGACCTGGGGGGAAAATTTCTCTGTGCCTCATTCCCATCTGTACAATGGGGGCAATAGTAATAAATACTCGCACCCTTTGCCTGTCTTGTCTGTTTGGAGCATAAGCTCTTGGGGCAGGGGCTGTCTCTTACTATGAGTTTGTACAAAGTGCAGGACAATGGGGCCCTGATTTTGTTCCAGACCTCTAGGCACTAGTGTCATAAAGTAATGATCATCTGAGAAATTTAGTTTTTGAATATGTTTTAAAATCATCAGACAGTGATAACTGTTGTTTATCTGTGACTATGAAGTTGCACTAATCCTTTCATAACTAAACAAAGGACATGCAGCGAGCCCGATGAGTACAAGGGGGTGAAGTCCAGAAGTTGAATGTTCTAAGTGAACATGGCAGTGTTCACGTCAGCGACTGCCATACAATCTTGTAAACTGCAGATTTCCATTGTTAGGACCCGTTTCCTTTTAGAATTACATTGCAGAGTGTCGGCATGAATACAGTGCAAATAGCTATGTTCATGGAACAAGGCATTTTCTTGATGGCTCTGCATCTGTAATGAACTGTGATGATTAATTAAGAACTTTATTCTAAAGGCTGAAATTAGAAATGTTTGTATGATTTCTCAATGGCTTTGTTTAAGCTGCTCCAGCCATGACCTTTGCATGGGTTAATAGTTAGAGCCTTATCAGCCATCTTGGCATCCATGCAGTATCTTCAAAGGGAGATGACAAAGCAACTTTTCATCCATTATTGATTTATATTGTTCCTTTCATTTTCAGCAGACCAAACACGACTCCAACTGTAGGGCTGCCAAGGTTGTTCCAGCCCAAAAATAAAGAACAATTGCATTCGTTTCCAGCTCTCTCTGTCTTTCACTTAATCAAATGTTACCTTTACCTCCCTTCAGTGGTTCTAGTGTTCATTTGCTTGACAAATGCCTTGTTGTTAACAGTAGGCAAAACCATGCTAACTGCACAGCAAACTCCAAGATGCACATTGTCATAAGAGTAACCCCTTGTGTATTAGTTTTGCCAAGAGACAAACTGAACCATGTCATGCTCATATCTATAATAATACTCAACTGATCCTTGATTATTGCTTAGTTAGTCTGAGTACCTAGCGGATATTCGATTGAAGGCTGGGGATTGTGTATTTTTGATGGACCCAAACTTGACATTTGGAAGCGATCACACCTCTTCCTGCCGAACGCTATTAGAGGCTTGACTATTTTTCCCTTTTTCTCCTCCCAACCAATAGGTATCCAACTGGTTTGGCAATAAGAGAATCAGGTACAAGAAGAATATAGGGAAGTTTCAGGAAGAAGCCAATCTTTACGCTGCAAAAACAGCTGTGACTGCAGCACATGCCGTGGCAGCAGCTGTCCAGAATAACCAGACAAACTCCCCCACCACACCAAACTCTGGTACGTACCAGGAGCCTTTTCATTCACCCAGCCCAGTAAATGAAAACATCCTGAAAAGCCAAGTGGGAAGGATTTGCAGTGAATTTGGTTTGGTTCAGAATGTCCAGACTTAGCCGTGGCATCATGTAAGAGTGTAGAGTGGGATTTCTAAGAAATGTCGGGTGTTGGTTTAACCGCCCCATTAACGTCCAGGGTAGAATGCCAGTCGACTTCAGTGGGAATGGAGTCTGGCTAATGCTGAGCACTTTTGAGAAGTCACGGCCAGTGTCAGCTTCTTGGCAGTTTCCTTGTCCCGTAGCTGTTTCCGCAGTGTTTTCTCCCCCACTTAAAGAAGAAGTCAGGCAGAGCTCCATGGCTGTTCAACACTGCGTTGAAGGCTTGAAAGGTTGAGTGACGAATGAAATGGTGTAGAGGGGAATATTTACATTCTGCTGTACACTAATTGGACTTTAAATGCTGGGCTGCTTGAAATGAATTAATAGTGTATATAAAACATATATCTGAGGTAGACGTTTGTTTTAGGGTTCCATTGTCACCTGTTCATTTACAGTCTTTTAGAAATTTCTTACTAATGTGTTGTCTGCATATTGTAGAGCAGTCGTTCTCAACCTCTCCAGACGACTGTACCCCTTTCAGGGCTCTGATTTGTCTTGCGTACCCCCCAAGTTTCACCTCACTTAAAAACTACTTGCTTACAAAATCAGACATTAAAATACAATAGTGTCCCAGCCACACTGTTACTGAAAAATTGCCGACTTTCTCATTTTTACCATATAATAATAAAATAAATAAATTAGACTATAACTTTTGTACTTACATTTCAGTGTATAGTACATAGGGCAGAACAAACAAGTCAGTGTCTGTATGAAATTGTAGTTTGTCCTGACTTCGCTAGTGCTTTTTATGTAGCCTGTTGTAAAACTAGGCAAATCTCTCGATGAGTTGATGTACCCCCTGGAAGACCTCTGCGTGCCCCCAGGGGTATGCGTAGCCCTAGTTGAGAACCACGGTTGTAGAGATAAGCACTGAGCTAGGAGCCCATAAGGGGAAGGAGTTCTGTTGGGACCAGACAGCAAAGGTCTCCACCAAAGTAGTGATGTCTCTGATTCTTATTTACAGCTAAAGTTTTGCTGTAAGTTAACTGTAGAGAATGTTTTAAAAATGTACTATGGAAATATTCTCTGTGGAAAGAAAGTAAGTGCGGGGGGCGGGGGGGGGGAGATTTTCTTACTTTGATAGCAAAAAATCAACTTAATAGGCAATTACCAGCCATTTTCTTCCCAAGGAGACATTAAACACACACTCAGAATAAGTTTTTTTCTCAGAGAATTTAGCAGTAGCACCTAATGGTAAAGAATTCCACCAGAGAAAAGCACTCTGTTTTAAATACATCCTACTGTACAGTGAGTTGCTCTTCCACATGGAGAGCTAGACTTCGGGTTGTGCTGCTTTTCTGTACCTCCTAGGGCAATCGTCTACCATGACAGTTAATGTGATGGAACGGAGTGGTAACAATGGTGTTTAAAAAGGAGCTCATGGGCACAGAGTGTCAGAAGAGGCCTTGATCTTGCTGCTTGATTCGGTTTGTGCCTAGGAATCTCCATCCAAAGTGCTTCTCACAGGTGCAATGGCTGCCAACCAGTACTGTATCCTTAGCCATGTGGCTCACAGTCTAGCTCTGTGTCACTGGTAATTTGCCTTTGTTTTAGGTCATGAAACTTATTCTCTGTTATGCACTACCTTTCCTCCTTGTTTCCTTTTCTTCTTCATCTTCCCCTGCCTTGAGGGCTTTGGGGTTATATATTTGTAGCTCTCTGTTATTCAGCTACTTAACTCTTTCCTTTCCAGGTTCTTCTGGTTCTTTTAACCTCCCAAATTCTGGGGACATGTTCATGAACATGCAGAGTCTGAATGGGGATTCTTACCAGGGGTCCCAAGTCGGAGCCAATGTGCAATCACAGGTAGGAGAAATGCCCCAAACTAGGGCCTTTCTAGCAGGGTAGGGTTTGGGCTAAAAATTCCACCTTACTCTGGCTCTAGTAAATGTTCTGTGCCTCACTGCAGAATTGAGGCTGCATATTCCTAAATGTGGCCTATTATTATCCTAGCATTGAATATAACAAATAAAGGAAAGAGTGATTTTTTTCTGATTGAAACTTTAAGCTTTGTGAATGCATTCGGCTCTGGCTTGAGCTCATGGAGTGGGACTGGGTGCATCTGACTTTCATAGATCCTGTAAATTCTACCAATTTGCCTTTTTTTTTTTTTAAACACGTATTTGTTTCATTTTTGGGATAAAGGCCTTTTTAAAAAAAAAATGTCAGAACATATCTA